TTTTTTGGTGGCTTTGATGGAGTTTTTGGTGGTTTTGTGGATTTTGTGGCATCCAGGCCGTGGTGAAATATCCTTTTGGGGCCATTTTTTGTGGTTTTGGTGGGTTTTTTGGTGTTTTTGGTGGGTTTTTTCATGGTTTTGATGGGTTTTATGGTGTCTAGGCCGTGGTGGAATAGGCCTTTGGGGTCGTTTTTGGTGGCTTTGGTGGGTTTTTTGGTGGCTTTGATGGAGTTTTTGGTGGTTTTGTGGATTTTGTGGCATCCAGGCCGTGGTGAAATATCCTTTTGGGGCCATTTTTTGTGGTTTTCGTGGGTTTTTTGGTGGTTTTGGTGGGTTTTTTCATGGTTTTGATGGGTTTTATGGTGTCTAGGCCGTGGTGAAATATCCTTTTGGGGCCATTTTTGGTGGTTTTGATGGGTTTTTTGGTGGTTTTGATGGGTTTTTTGATGGTTTTCATGGGTTTTACGGCGTCCAGGCCGTGGTGAAATATCCTTTTGGGGCCATTTTTTGTGGTTTTTGGTGGGGTTTTTTGGGTTTTGGTGGGGTTTTGATGGTTTTCATGGGTTTTACGGCATCCAGGCTGTGGTGAAATATCCTTTTGGGGCCATTTTTTGTGGTTTTGGTGGGGTTTTTGGTGGGTTTGGGGCTTTGGGTGGGTTTTTTTGGAGGCACTGGTGGTTTTATTGGTGGTTTTGATAGGATTTTTTTGCACTTTTGGTGGTTTTGGTGGTTTTATTGGTGGTTTTGGTAGGATATTTTTGCACTTTTGGTGCTTTTTTTGGTGGTTTTGGTGGGATTTTTTTTCACTTTTGGTGGCTTTGGTGGATTTTTTGGTGGCTTTGGTGGATTTTTTGGTGGCTTTGGTGGGATTTTTTGTGGGTTTGGTGCTTTTTTTGGTGGTTTTGGTGGGATTTTTTTTCACTTTTGGTGGCTTTGGTGGATTTTTTGGTGGCTTTGGTGGATTTTTTGGTGGCTTTGGTGGATTTTTTGGTGGCTTTGGTGGATTTTTTGGTGGCTTTGGTGGGATTCTTTGTGGTTTTGATGGGTTTTTTGGTGGGATTTTTTGCACTTTTGGTAGTTTTGGTGGGATTTTTTGCACTTCAGGTGGTTTTGGAGGTTGTTTTGGTGGGATTTTTTGCACTTTTTGTGCTTTTTTTTGACTTTTGACTCCCCCTCAACCCCATCCCAACCACCTCCGCGTTGAGTCGCATCTACGATTTCCCCCACCTCAGGAAGCGTCGCGTGATGTTGGTTGGTGTTGTTTGCTTCCCCCCTCCCACCCAACGAACCCCCCCTCCCAAATTTAACCAAAACCCTCAAAAATCACCCCAAAAACTCCTTCTTCTCCTCCTTAACCACGGAGCCCACGTTCGACTCGGTGCAGAGCGCCCAACGGGCCAAGGCCTCCCTCAACGGCGCCGACATCTACTCGGGGTGCTGCACCCTAAAAATCGAGTATGCCAAGGTAAAAATCCCCCCCCCCCAAGACCCCCCCAATATTTTTTGGGGTGACCATTGAGATTTGACCCCTTTTCCCCCCTTTTTTTTATATTTTTGGGGGTTTTTGATGGTTTTTTCTCTTGGTAGCCCACGCGTCTCAACGTCTTCAAGAACGACCAAGACACTTGGGATTACACCAACCCCAACCTCAGCGGACAAGGTA